GATTGCTGAAGCTAGTAGTGGTCTTCCCTCTCTAAGTTCTGATTCTCAAATGTTATCAGGTCTTTCTTTTTTATTAAAGGTGCATGAAACCTTAGGGGATACATAAAAAATTTGCAGAGCACTATTTAAGAAGCTGGTTTTGTGGGTTTCTTGTTATTTTGTTTATGCAGACATGGTGACGTTTTAGCAAACATGCAATCTTGGTGCCACACAAGATTGCACCAATGTCAAATATCAAATTACTATTGCTTAGCTTCAAAAGTTGCATATTTACATCTAAAGTTTGAGTTAGTCCTATGTGTGGTTTCTCTTATGATGTTTCATTTGGTTTTATGTTTATATCTTTTGCTTCACGAGACAGAATTGAAGCCACACAAGTTATGAAACCCAACCAAACTGAAACATTATTCCGATATATTTGTTGGTAGAATATGTAGGATTAAAAATCTCAATGGGCACATCACATGAGATCAACGCCACAACAACATCACAAACACCAAATAATCCTCGGAGAGGAGAAGATGATCATGAGAGCAGAGCACCGTTTAAACAATTCAATGGTGGATTCACCAAAAAAAACAATTCAATGGTGGGGTTTGATTGGGATTTAAACCCAGTTAGTTTTTTTTCTTTTTTTTTTTTTTGTTTTTTTTTGTTCTAAAGTATCCCAAATCACTCAAAATTAAATAATAAACTCCCCTCAAAATCTCACCAAATCACCAATCATTTAAAAAAATAAATAGCCTAACAAATCAACCCAAATATTTTTAAAACTTATCAAATCTCTCAAAAACCTAAAATATTCAAATTCCACCAAATCTTCTAAAATTATAGTTCCAATACACCCCCCTTAATGTCCATAAACACATGACTTATTAGTTTGTAATATTTTGTCAAACCTTATCTGATAAGCATGACATGAAATATGAATCATGTGATAATTGGAAGGAATATAGAGCATCAACCGCGGGTAAAGCAAACTTATACTAGAAGACAATTGAATCAAGGACTTGAATACTTGATGATATAAATAAAGACCAAGCATAATAATAATCGAAAACCTTAGCTAATTAAACGTTTTTTTTTTTTTTTTGAAACAGAAAGGTCATAAAAATACCGTCACATTTTGGTAAAAAAATAGCAAAGTTAAGCATGGTTTTTTTTTTCTAAAATCTTTGTTTGCAATTTAAAAATAAAATTAAAAATCACAAGAAGAAAAAGAACATTAACTTTGCTATTTTTCGAATATATATTCAAAGAATCTTCTTTCTTTCCACTTTCCAGGTGCAATTCATGCAAGAGGAAGGCTGGAACTTTTGATAGCTAAGCTATAAGCAACTTCAACAAGCTGTTCCACGATTCGAAGCAAGACACGAGTCATTTATCACCACATAGTTTCTTTACCGCCATTTGTCATCTACCACGTGCCCATGAATCCGGCCAACATGAACCACGTGGACACACATCAGATGAGATTAACCGTAACGGCGTCATTTGCTGACCTGGACTGTCTAACATATTACACTGTCTATCGAAGATGCTCGACACGTGTCAATCACGGAGTCGTGTTCGTGCTCGAGATTCGCGGAGTCAGATACGAGACAGAGAAACTGAAAACTCAAACGTGTCCTCGTCAAGCCAGCAGGATATCAAAGTACACGTGTTAACTGTTTTCATGCACGTGTTACACGTGGCGGCCTTGGTACTTTTCGTCAAAATTTTACGTTGATTTTTACAACCATTGGAAATAGAAAACCAACAAAATAAATGGAAAGCGTTTATCGATAATCCGAAGTTGTAGCGCTAATATAGTTCCTTAACCTTTCTCCTAATTAACAGATTCATTATGAATCTTACGTGTAATTTGAAACCGCCCATGTCCAACTATCCTTATCGGACATGTGTCATGTTCCAAAGCCTTCCCTTCTCTTTTTAATTATCTCCGCCTCTTATAATATTCCTTTCTCTTACAAAAAGTTGGCGAAGCTTCAAAACCCTTCAAGAGAACAACTTTGCAGAAGACAAGAAACCATCTATTTTTGGATTTTCTTTTTGACATTATATGTTTGTTGAATCTTTATCAATGACAACGAAGTTTGGAGAAGATGAGAATGTGGACGTCGAGCTAGAGCTATGTCTTTCCCTGGGAGGTCCTTTCAAGAAAACAGAGAAATCTAAACCAATAGGACCATCTAACGCCGTCGAATGCGCAAAGGGTACCGGCGTTAATCTTGAGGATGAAACGACGAATGTGACGAGGATAAAGGAAACGCGGAAGAAGCGGGAGGCGAAGCAGCAGCAGAGAAGCGGAGAAGAAGAAGAGTGCAAGAGGATGAGAACAGAATGTAACGGAGTTACTAACGGCGAGGATATGGATTTGAGCTTTAGCAAAATGGGTAACGGTTACGGGTCGGGTCAACTTAAGGAAAACCGTAAAGACGTTACGATTGGGTCACCCATTTGCACCTCCTCCGACGTATCCGATCCCAGCAGCTCTTCTCGCCACGAAGGTATATAACTACATTTTTATAATTAATGTTTAATTGGTATCTCTATAAATATTTGGACAAAGTCGGGATTCTATAGGAAAATAAGATTAATTATATTTAATGATTATTTGAAAGGGATACATATAAGTATACACTAAAATTTTTGAATTTCTATCGACAATGTTTTTAATTAACTTCGTTTATATTTGCAATCTTTTTAATTAAAATGTTACTTTCCAAAACTTAAATTAGAAAAAGAAAAAAAATTGTCAATAACAAAATGTTTGATGAGGTTTGAACAGAACCGGACTTGAGCACATGGTGATGAAACATTCCAATAGGCCCTCACTTTAGAAGGGTTCCACGTAAATGTTTTTTTAGTTATACATATATATAAATTGTTGTAAATATGAGAAAAAATAGCAAGTTTGATGAACAATTTTTGAAAAAAAAATCCATAGAAAAATTATTTTTCATAAGATTTAAGTTATTATTATTTTTTAAAGGATATAATTGTAATATAATTTTTAAAAATAATAGTTTTATTTAAATTGATTATTTTTACTTTATAATTTTTAATATTATGAAAATTATGATGTTATTTTTTTCTTAATTCTACTGGGTCCTAAAATTCATTGGTCCGGCTCTGGGTTTGAATTTGATTTAATATTAACCCCAACAAATACAAAAATTATATTTCCTAGCATCTCTTTTATAGTATTATATAACGTTATTATAGCTTTTTTTTGGGTCAAAAGATATTATAGTTCTTGTTGATTCTATTGATTCACGAAAATTATGGTATTTGCATGAAGATGATTCGGAATTATCAATTATGGTTAATCTTCAGGTGGAAGTGGCGATATTGGGGCACAATCTGGCCAAACCAAACCGGTTGGACCTCCGGTTAACAACATTGGGATTGGTACAGAGCAAACCGTGCATAGCACAGACGGTTCAAAAGATGCGGTGGTAGTGGAGACCCAAGCATTGTCCAACTCTGTAACCAAAAAGACTGGGAAGCCACCAAAACCGCATACCAACAGTACCGGTAACGGCAGTTTGCTTCCGTTTGCTCAGATGCCTTGCGTGACTAGCACCGGCAACGGTCCCGAGGGCAAAACCGTAAATGGCTTTCTATACCGGTACTCAAAATCAGAGATCAGTATAATCTGTGTCTGCCATGGAACGTCTTTCTCGCCGGCTGAGTTCATCGTTCACGCCGGTGGGACTAATGTGTCACAGCCGTTGAGGCATATAACTGTTGTTCCCTCAACTTTGTGAACTACAGTTTCACTTTCATCTTTATACTCTTTGTCTTGTGTTTTTTACTTTTTATGTATATATGTTTCACTGATGGACATTTTGAGTTTCATCTCTTTCGGTGGTTTCTTAGATTTTTGTTTTTTCTTCTTAACATTTTTCAACTAATTTAACACTTAATTTTGTTGCATTGTCACGTCTTCTTAACGCATTAGTAAAAATGAAGAATTCGTAGTTACATATATATTTGTCTATTCGGTTTCATATGATTTGATTGAATTCGTCAACAAATATTCTTTGGTAAAAGAAACATTTAAAAGATTTAACAATTTCCGGCAATTGGTCCCATGAAAAACTTGAAAATCTTTCGGCTTCTCTACGAAAAGAAAACGAAAAAAAAAAATCAGTTAACCATAACAGATTTAAGTATATAACTGATTGTCAATATAAACATCTTACGAAATTGTTTATCAAAAAAAAAAAAAAAAAAACATCTTACGAAATTGCATAAATAGGGCTGACTCTTTGCGAGTGAAACGAAAATAAAAATAAAAATTTCAGCATCTTTTTCTCTGGCGCTCTTCGTCTCTTACTGTGCTTGTTCCTTCTCGCGAATAAATCCTAGGAGCCGCCATTGACGTGGGTCTCGCAGAACTCGGAGCTACTCATATTCAATCTTCTTCACTACCACAAACATCTCTCTATCCCCCTCGGTGTAATTTCAGGTGAGTCTGCTTTCAACGATTTCGGCATCTTTCGCGTTTGGTTGTGGGGATTTAGTGAAACGCGAAGACAATCTTTATACTTCTTTCTTCATCTTCTTAACAGATAAGCCATTTCTTTTATGATTATGTTCGCAAGATCTAACGATTTTGCGT